CGTTTAGTGCGATACTTAGACCACGCTGACCCAGTGAGCGGGCTGTGTCGTCTCCTGATGTGCGAAGGAAATACCTCGAGGACAGACCCGGCGAACTCAGGTGGCTTATAATACTAGGATCCTGAATTCGTGTTTCCGATATGCAACAGACATCGATTTCTAGAGACTGCATTGTACGCGCAAGACACGACTGTTGACCCACCTGCATTAGAGTCCTCACGTTGAAAGCCCCAGATTGAGAGTTTGGCGAGGCTTCAGAATCTGCACTTTATTTACAGGAAAACTAGTTACAGTGCTATTTGGCGAAGACCTTTGGCCAGTGACGACCAAGTTGTCTGAGGGAATACTACGGGTCGGAAGAAGGAGTAGAGGGTTGGGTACGGAAGATGAAGAGTTAAACAAAGGTTTGGATGTGAGCAGTAGCCCACTTATCACTACCCACTCCGCTCGATGCAATGGGTAGCGCGGTCCTGATTATCTTGCTCGATGGCAGATACAGTATGGAATTATGTTTTGTTTGTGTATGCATTAGAGTTTGATGGACGGGTACCGACAGGGTGTCCAGCCACTCAGCAGGAGAACGATTAGGATTCTCGCCCCAAGAACCTAACCGCAAGGCAGTGGTTAAGGCGGATTGGAGGCCCATTAACTTGGATCAATTATTCCTCCATCACGTTTTATCGACTGGGACGCCGACTCAAGTCGAACCCCTAACCTGGAGGACCAGAAGACTGAACTTCGTCTGGTCTGTACCCATTGACCTTGCAGGCATGATTAGATCTTTGGCTCGGTAGAAGCCATCCTGTGTAGCTCGTTGGGTCAGAGAGGTGCACAAGCCATCACACCACGTCAAGGTGTGCAGTCTCGTAGTGATACAATACGATACAATATCAAATACCCAACAAGCCTCACATAAACACCCATAACTGACTCATTTCATCAAACTTGTCACAACCGTCCGTTACACGCACACCGGCACACCGATACAATGGAATATCCGTATATGAAACGAACAACACACTGTCTTCAAACAGAAATCAGATGCGCAACATGTATCATTCTAACGGGCAAATGACACGCACAATGTAATCGGGAAGTAGAAAACCACACGGACAGCAATAATCCACTACCGGAGCCTTTGTTTAACCAAAGCCTGACCCGCAAGGCAGTGGGGCGGTGTGCAAAAACTGCAATCCATTTTTGGCCGGTGTCTATTTTATCGGATCGTACGCCCTTGGACGGAATCAAACATCCAAGGTGCCCAATGCACCTCGATGTCCAATCGAGCCGGTGACCACTGCCAAAACCAGGAATTTGTGTGTGGTTCTTACACCTGGTTGGTTTGAAATTAGGGTTTTTGGCTAACTCCCCTAGGTGAACTACCAGTGATCCATAAACCCGGTTGTAGCCCCGGATGTTGACTATTCGTCCTCTCACTTTAGTGGGAAAACACCTCCGCCACGAGAAGGCAGTGAGTAGGGGTTCCTCAGCAGAGGCTATTCGAGACACTTGGTCTCGAAGCGAATTTCAACGATCATTGTCAAGTTTACGAAATATTACCTTAGTGTGCTGTGATGGATTTAACTGGAGACGCTTGGTCTTATAGGAGCATTTCGCGAGGTGCAAGAGAAGGGTGGCCAGCCGCAACCCTAAACACCCACCCCCAACCATACTGAAGTCTTTGGAGCTGAAGCCAGTTTCTTCATACCTATACGTCATGTCATGGTCTGACCGCCATGACGTTTCGCCCAACCCTGCCCAGCATGTGCAAAACCAGCACGGAAGGGTAGGCGATGGGCAAGCGTACACAAATCATGTTCAAGCCATTGGAGGCGGTGTAGAGTGATTACTTCTTTTAGAGAACCACTATCCGCACCCAGCGCACGAGGAACCTCGTCACAGCCCACCCCAAGTTACCAACAGAAATGGCCGAATACAGAAAGTCGGTTAGCACCCTTAAAGCAAACGGGCCAGGTCTCGCAGTCCTAAAGCAGAACGCTACAGACAGCCGCGATGTACACCCAGTCGGATGTCATGAGGACACCACAGTTGTCGCAGATTGGCATAAGTTACTCTAGCTTTTGCTATTCGAGATGTGATCTCCTCTCCCACACCGACCCGCGGCGATCAAGCTCCCGAGGTACTTCCGGCTGATCACCAGAGCATGAGTGGAGACAGGCTCCTGCCAGTTTTGTACAAGCAATTTGCACTTGGATGGTGCAAAGCACATACCTGGATACCTTTATCGTCAAGCGGTTTAAGGCGTGTTGGACTGTATGTGTATGGTCACCCAACAAGGGGATGTCATTAGTATATTTTAAGCCACTACCTCTGTTCTCTGGGAGTTTGACTCCACCATTCGCTAGACCGGATAAAGTATTGGAGAAGACTAATGGTGTTGAAGGCTGGCCCGACCTGAGGTATAACGATACAACTATATGAGGATCAACACATATGTTCCTGGTATTCCATTCTCAACAAAGTTTTACAGTGCAGTCCTATCCACGTATTGGCGATCTTTGATAGGTATGGTGGTGCTCTAGCAGCTGTCGGAGGGTGAAGATTTGGTCGATGAACCCACAACCGGCGAAAAACCCAGCCTGCTCCCCACGTAGTGTACAATCGGTGGAGAATGACGGACTCTAACAGCTTTCACGCTATCGCGATCAGCTTTATGCCTCTATGGTTGGCACAGTTATTGCGTGAGCCCCTTTTAAAGACTGGGTTGACAATCGATTCCCCCTCCTCTTCTCAAGATTCCATTCTTCCATCGACTCGGTAATCCAAATGGACAACCAAAATCGGTGCATAAAAATGCTCAGTTCATGGTTGTAAAAATCGAAACTGAGACCCGTCGTGATGTGCGAAGGAAACAGACCACCATCAAGAAAAGGGAAGCGACCAGGGACCATATCCTATTGCCATCTACCGCCCTTACATGGAGGAATTTTGTTCAATGGCCACCAACATAGCTGTCAAGAAGACGTACAGACCTAGCTGGGCCTTGGTTCGTCTCGGGGCTTAGGTTGCAGGTTACCAACATTGAGCAGCAGGTCTCCGTGACTATGGGGTTCTACCCCGTCTACTGTCCATCACACATCATAGTGTAATGAAAGACAAAAATCTCGGATCGACTGGTAGTGCAGAAACTTGTCCCAACAACGATGGAGCAAAGGACAATAAGAAAATGCATATGCCTATCACACAGAACGAACTTTTCCACGAAACAGGTGTCCGTTTCAGGCCTTTTATGGTTTTTACAGAAGTGCTCCAGAGGCACGGCTGAAACCGTGCTACAACAGTTCAACTCAGCGGAACCCCTTACCGTCTAGCTAGATACCTCACCTCTCCCAACAGAGCGTTAAATAGTCCAAAAGCACGGATCACCGGTTTTTATAACTGAATGGGAACCAAGACCGATTTAACACTACAAAGCATATAACCCAACCCGAAGCATTTAGCATCGGACTTACGGCCTAGCAGAAATTATTTGTAGCCCTCACTGATTCGTAATTCTAGTGAACACCATAACCACAATGATAGCCTCAAGTCGAGTCTAAGAATGTCAGCTGCCTTTTGAGTGCGCACAAATCAGAGTTACCCAAATATGTCGACCAATAAGCTTGCTCAAGTATGTCCTCAATAAGCATCATTCAGTGTTAAACCCAAGTTAATGCAAACGAAAAAATAAAAGCCTTGCTGATGGTCATTCCTGCAGATTATTGGACAGTCTCGTTCACAGCTTTCTCCATTTGGACTACTTTAATGCTTTCAGGCATAACTCACGCAACGATCATGGTTCTCTCCAACGAACTACTAAGCAACCACTCTCATCTGAAAAATTCAATCAAATCTGGAGAACACCGTGCCAGTAAAACATCTTAGATAACGCTCAACTTTCCACTGTAGTCCCTCTCCCACTTGTTCTTCCTCGTAGATCCCGGGCACACGCAGGCAGCCACCCATTTCTAGACGTCGCACTTCTAATTTTCAATCATCTTATTTCCCAAGAACAGTACAACCTTGGAACACCCTGCTCCTTTCAGTTTTCTGTTCAACGTAAACACCTTTAAATGCAGAATCAACAAACCGGTTCTAGCTTGAATGTTCCTCTCAACTTTCCGCGTACATCATTGGAAGATGGGGTTCACTCATTTACTGTATTCACTTTCGTGTAACAAAAAATCTGCCAGCAGCATTGTTTAATGAAGTGAAGACTGAGAACGGGAGGCTTGGGTGCACAGCATCGCCAGCATTTCGGCTGACCGTTCGCTCTGAAAGGGGTCAGTTCAGTTCAGTTTTTGCAACCATTAACCATGCACTTTCGTGCGCCGGTTTTGGTTCGTCTTTTGGTTGCCCATTTGGATAAAATAGCGAAATGAAGATCGGGATGTCGAAGCAAATTCAAGCGGAAGATGGGGAATGCATATAGTGGTGTTCGGAAAATAACGAGTGGATGCACGAACGCCACTCTTTGTGACACCCAGCGATATCACTCAGTGTAGCTAACCATCGGTGACCATCATCCCGAGGTCACCAGCCAGGGAGCCTAACGGGGCCTATGTGACCTAGTCTTCTGGTTAGGGTTTTCATACCCTCATGCCAGGTCTTAGTTTGACCACCCTTCATCTTATTCCAGTCGCTACCAGCCCTGGCAAACATCGTTAACCGTGGCAATCTATCTGGTGACATGCGTAGCACATATCCCAACCAGCGTAATCTATGGAGGTCGTCCACTTCCTCTAGTGGACGACCGCGACTGATTAAAACTCTACGCCTAACCTCAGCATTGCTAGTCCGGTTACCCCACCAGACACGTGCAATGCTACGTAGACAGCACTGACCCCTCTGAAAGGGGTCAATGCTGTTGCTTTTTATGAATGACCGTTAAATGCAGTCTAGAGCTCAGTTCGACCCTCCTCCTTTTCCAAGGTGAAAAACGGTGCACTTGATACAAAATAACGGAGAAATCATCCTAACACTGTATTGGAGGAACAAAATCATTTGAATATTTTTCCTTGGTTGAAGGGCTTGTCTGAGAACTCCTGTAGGAAGTACTCATGCACCAGTCGTTTCGTCTCAGCATCGTTGGGATCCAGCTTTCGCCAGCTATAGGACTCATAATCGGTTTGCAGGTCAGGACTGAGTTCGAAGGCCAATCCAGTACCACGCCAGATCCACAAGCCGCTAATGGTACTTTTGCCATCCTCGCCGAAGATGCACATGCTCCCGAAGGCAAACTTCAGCATCCTATATGGGAGAAAGAAGTAACAAATACAGTACAAATATATACGCGGCATGTTACAACGACCAAAAGCGTTACCGTATCTCCATGCAAATAAGTAGTGGTTAACTGGGAATGGTGCAACAATGTCGGAAACTAAAAGATACTGCCTGCTAGAAAATTACCAAGTAGTCATAATCTCCTCAGGATTCCACTGACAATCGTGCACACGTAAGCAGTGCGACCTTGTGTTAATCAAAACTACTGGCGGATTCGCGCTAGGATTTCACTAGTGAGCGACGAACTGGGGAGCGCTAGTTAGCTCGAACTTGGTGGGTCACATAGGTAGTAGTAGTAGTAGGTAGTGCGAATCTACCGGCACTGAGGGTCGAGTACGGGATCTCAAAAGTAGAATACAAGACTGCCATTCACCTAGTCATCGGGCAACTAACCAGAACGTTTGTCACAGTCCATGCACTGCATAACATATTTGTGTTGGCATGATAGAGGATTATTTTGTCCTTCGTGGGGACTACAATTCTGGTGGTTGAAACTACGCGAAATAAGCACGTCATTCAACGAGTGATCTCTTCCACTTGAGAATGAGCACAGCAAGCGACGATGCGAACTGGACGGTAGCTACGGGTTTCAATGAGGAAAATGAATGGAGAAGAATGTCAAGGATCGTAAGAACAGGAACAGCAAGGGCGATGACACAGACCGACTTACTTCTCCAATCTTTGGAACATCCCGCTGATCAAGTTGCACGACATGAAAATCATTCTAAGGTCTTCCGGATAAAGATACTCGCAGTACCATATTGAGTGCGTGTTCGGGTCAAAGTGATCCCAGAAGTAAGGGATTGCAACTTCGTTGATTTTCTCGTTAGAGTAAACACGCTTAAACGCGTCCATATCAAAGGTGCCAGCCGGCATATCAGCAAAAGGATTTTTGCTGGCTTTCGGTTTCTCTTCCTCTTCTTCTGGTTGCTCCACAGGTTGTTCTTTTGGCTTCGGTTTTGGTTTCTCATGTTTCTCTTGCTTTTGGTGAGCTTTTTTATCCTCTTTCTTGGAACTCTTTTGCTTGCCGTCCTACAGAGGCTTTAAGAAAAGCAAAACCATCTACCTTATGCAACTCCTCGTACTTCTTGGAATCAAAGGATGCCTCCTTGACACACATGTTAACTTTGCCCACAACTTCCATCACGTGAGGCTGGTTGGCAACAGTTGTGTACCAACGAACTACGTGAGGGTATTGTTTGCGACAGTTATCGTCGCACACGTAAGTGAAGAGAAGGTAAATTGCCGTGAAGACAGTAATATCAGCTTGCGACAAGCGTTCCCCTACAAGGTACGTTCTAAACCGGTCACCTTCGTATCATGCTACTTACGCGTTTCGCAAATAATTGTCCATGAATGAGAGGACTGTTCGGATGTGAGTCTTTGCTTTCTCGGTATTCTGCTTGTTGTATTGAGTGACCCCCAAGCATGGATATACCCAGGTAGCAACCGAGGGCATTATACCATTATCGGTAAAGTTTACCCACTGGGTGACAAGATGTTCTTTCGAGCCACCTCTCAGCTGCTCCGTTCCGAGGAGAAAAGCGATGGCATTCACATCAAAGAGGCATGTGCCGTCCTGACCTTCAAATACCGGCACGGTAGCTGGAGGAAACTTCGCCAAAAAGGATTTGTCCGCATCTGTTTCACCAGGAATAAATTCTTTTAGTACGAGATTTGCTCCACTGTATTTAGCAGCGATTTGAGCCCTCCAAGAACGGTGATATCCCGACGGTGTAATAAGAGTACCCCCAACAACCATCACGTCGAAGATAGAAGCGTGAGTGAATACGCACGTTAATGCATTATAACAAATCAGGGTAGACCGGAGAGACAATCGCCCCTAGGAAAACTATTTCATTGCGTCGTCTAGCTGAATAACTTTTACATGAAAATTTATGCCGTGAAAGAAATAATACAAAAATCTAAAATTGGTATGCGTGAACATTACATCTAATAACGGTAATTTGTTTGTGTTCACTCATTTTTGAAAGTTCCAAGATATCACTATCCCTCCTTTTGGAGTTAATAGCGTATTTCATCCTGAAATTAGTTTTGGTGTTACTACAAACTTTTTTGCCCAAACTAACAGCACGGAGTTTATCCAGAATTGGTGAAATAGATGAAACTATTGTGAATAAATGTGAACAATGATTTGGAAGACCATTAGAAACTGAGTTTTTGTGATGTATAACAGAATTAAAGGAAACAGACGCGTACTGGAGCCGGATAAAGTGAAAATTGAAGGCAGTTTTCGGTTAGGTACAGAAGATGGGATCATTTGGACTTAGCTCTGTAACGGTATTAGTTTCACTTTTCGCCCTCAAAAATCGAAACGGATATAGAAACTTTCTTGGAATACATTGGTGAAAATTATCACGTCGACTATTCTGTGTATTTTTCGCCTGAATACGTCTTGATATTCACTTTCTAGTCTCCTAAAATAACATTCTAGTAAAAGTACCTTCATGCTACGTATCGGTGATCAGTATATTATTGCGATTATTGGCTAGGGGGGACTACTGTCGTTCAGGTCTTTCCAAATCAGTTCTGTTCTGTTTGTATCCAGGACCGCGACTGTAGCGGTTTTTCAACCGACAGTTTCGCAACGGCAGTTTTCTTTTCTTGCCTCTTGTTCTTCTCCAAGTTCCCTGTTTGATCCATTCAAGCTGGTCGTGATTATCAACTCACGTACCAGAAGCCCTTTCATCCTACACTGCTGATTAGCAAGACGGGTTCAGTCTCCAACCTGTCATGCATAACTGAGGATTATCAGGCATGTTTACATAACCGTGGCATATTTATCAGAACCATCAAGATTCAGAGATCAAGTAACTATTCAACATCTCGATCAGGTAACTAAATCTACCGCTATGGTTTTTCCTTCTTACTTAAGGACCCTTCTCCACCGGACACAATCAAGTGTATACTCGAGCTTTAGCATTTATCGTCATGAGTTGGCGATAGCTATTCTCCGGGGAAAGTTTCTTTATTGGGTATAGCAACTTGGACATTTCCAGGATTAAGTTTTCCTTTAACTATTATCGTTCTTTTAATGAACTCGAAAAGCGTGCACCGACACAGTTTCCCACGGTGAGCTCTGTATCGCACGCCTTCGTTACATTGATCAGATCTACTTTCAGGTTTCCGCTGCCGTTGCTCAAATAACAGCCTAGGCCTAACCAAACCTACTTCCGACCTTTAGGAGGATTCAGAATATATCGTTTTCTACAAACCCAATCTTTGGTTCTGTTTCCTCTCGGGACGGATATCCAAAACGAACGTGAGCAAACATTAGTAACGGGTTCTGACGAACATCAGCAATCATGGAGTCACTAAACGACTGCAATTGACAGTGTCCAATTTCTGGGAGACCTGATCGACAGTCGCCCCAGGAAAACCCTTGTATTTCGTTGTCTAGCTGAATAACTTCGCACGAAAATTTTTGCCGTGAGAGATATAACATAAGAATCTAAAATTGGCATATGTTTGCATTATATATAATATTATATATTATGTATACATATATAACATATATTAACATTTTATATACTTTTGGCAACGTCAATTCAGTCCAGTTCAGTTCGGTGTCCAGAATGGTAACGGTAGCTTACCAGGTCGTCCAGTTTCTTACACTGGTGAGCTCCAAGGATCTCCCAGTGCTGCGATAATGAGTTAAAAAGATTCATCTTCAATGGTATACAGGTAGAGGAGCGACCAGGAGAGGACCCCCCACCACAGTACCCCAATCCGTGGGTGTTTGTGCAGTGTTGTCTTTGCACACTGGCCCCTCCGATTGGAGAGTCACACCAACTTGTATATATCTTCAATCATTTTTCAAAATTCCGAAATATCCTTATCTCTTATTGTGGAGTTAGTATGGTATTTTATCCTCGAAATTCCTCTGATGTTCCTATAAACTTCTTTACCTGATGCATCCGGGATGGTCAGGAAAAAAGGTATTTAGAGTGGATAAACACAAGGGGACCCTTTCCGCGTGTTGCATTTTGCACGCGGTTCACAGCTCAGCAGGAACCATCTCTACTGGATCTTGTATTTTCTAAAAGGGAACAGGATGTAACTAGTGTCACTGGATATCCACCGATCGAAAAGAGTGTTCACCTCCTCATCGGGGTTGATATCCGGACGAAGCCACCCGTACGTAGGTACGGATGTACAGGGTTTTTGGCAGAATGAACACAAGTAGTCTCGGGGAATACGCCGCACAAATGCAGTGGATTCCCGAGTGAGACACCACAGACGTCGAGGAATGCTGGTTGTTAATCCAACACAACCTCTTCAAACTCCAGAACCTCTTTGCCTCATTAATATATAGGCGGCACAGGGGGAAACCTCCACGGTGGCGAGCTGCAGTAACCAGGGCCATTAGGTACCGAAACTGAAGCTGGCGAGCCTAACTAACCGGCACCCATAGGTAGTGGGTTAATTACACC